TAAGAATAAAGAACCCAAATTGCATATATATATATATATAATCGATATTTGACAGAGGCCCAAATACCAATTTCTTATGTGCTATGCTCTATGGTGAGAAGCCCGCGTCATGTTCAATTATTCGAGGATCACCGCATCACAGGAATTCGAACCCTTGACCTGAAGGAACTTACAGAGATTCCCGCCAACCAATAGGCCAAAACATGCACACACACACACATAGGGGTGTAAACGAGCCAAACACGAAGGAGCCCATGCTCAGCTCACTTTTGGCTCGTTTAAGTTTTGAGCTCAAAAAGCGTGTTCTTGTTCGGCTTGTTTGCATAGCAAGTCGAACACGAGTTGTTCACAAACAAAGAGCCATTTTGACAACCCTAATCACATAGTCATAAAATGTTAAGTGTTGGAGAAAGATTTAAAATTTATTGTTTATATTAAAACATCATTTGAATCTAATTTAATAATTTTTATTCTATTTTCTTAATTAATACTTTTAATTGATTATAAATCTTTGTTGCCTTGTAGTCAAATAATTTTTTTTAAAATACTACTTATCAATATATATATATATATATATATAATTGATGAGTAGTATTTCGAGCCAAAAAGAGCCAAACACAAATGAACAACTCTTTGTTTGTGTTCAGAACACGAGTTTATTAACAAGTCGAACAAGAGCTGCTCGGGAACAACAAGCCGTTTTTGACAGCCCTACACACATACATGAAAAAATATTACATCAGTACTACGCACGTAGAGTATCATGCGTAGCCGATGAAATCACGCCATGACACCCCGCCCAACAGAGAAAAAAAAACGACGCAGTAAAACGGGAAATATTCCCCTCCGTGTTATTCATGTGTTATTGTGTCATAGGAATATTCTTGGTGTTATAATAACACAATAACACATCAATAACACATGAATAACACATCATAACACATGAATAACACGAGGAAAAATATTCTCTCGTGTTACTGCGCCTTTTTTTTCTCTATCGAGAATATTCCCCGTGTTATTCAGGTGTTATTGTGTGTTATTCATGTGTTATTGTGTTCTAAGAATATTCTTGGTGTTATAATAACACAATAACACATGAATAACACATGAATAACACACAATAACACATGAATAACACATGAATAACACACAATAACACATGAATAACACATGAATAACACACAATAACACATGAATAACACATGAATAACACACAATAACACATGAATAACACAGAGGGGAATATTTCTCGTGTTACTGTGCCATTTCTTTTCTCTATTGCGCTGGTTGTCGTGGTGTGATTTTATTAGCTACACACGTTAATTCTACGTGCATAATACCGATGTAATATTTTTTCCCCACACACACACACATTTATTAAAGTTTTAAATGTGAGATTTTTTTATAAATCGCCATATAAGAAGCACAATCCCTAATGTTACGAAGGCGCTGAGATGGAGGAAGAAGACGGCGAGGAGGAAATCATCTTTGACGATTCATTGTTCATCAATCGAGAGTAAAAAATCGTCTCTCCTTCAATTTCTGCTGCAAAGCATTCTTATATCCATAGAATCAAACCTCAATTCTACGCCGATTTTTTCGCAGCTATGAGCTCACCACTTTCAATTTCGGCGATTCTGTTCTTCAGCTCTTCTGTCTTCCCTCCGCTTCCAGTATGCTCGAAAACTCTTCTAAACCAAAGTTTAGGGTTAAATGTTTTTGTTATGTCCACACATTTTCGTGTATTTACATATCTAACACTTCAATTTTCATTATTTACATTCCACCTTTACATCCATAATGTAAGTAAAGGTAGGGCTGTTAAAGATCTGATTTTGAGCCAAAATGAGGTAGGTTTGAAATCAACTTGTGACTATTTATATTCGATTTAGAGCCAAACCAGCTCGAAATTGAATCGAGCACTTTCGGGCTCGCACATTCGGGCTCGAAAGAGAAATGAGCTGACTCTAATTGAGTTATTGGGATCGATTTAAGCTCGGAATCGGCTTGATCCAGCTCCAAATTCAAACCATCTAACTCAAATTGAGTCATTTGGATCCATTCCAGCTCGAAATTGACTTCTGACTCAATACATGTATGGCTTTAAATCGGCTTGAAAAAAAATTCAATTCAAAATTTCAGCTCATAGCTCGGTTTGTTAACTTCGATCCGATCTCGATCCAAGTCAAAATTCGAATTGATTTTCGAGCGATTAACGATATTCAAGCTAAATTCACATTTTGACGCATAGGTTACGAATATAAATATGAAAGCTCAAGTATTAGATATGTAAATACATGGGAAGTAACTGTGGTATATATGCAAATTTTTCTCGGTAATGTTTTACTGAGAGAAATAATATCTCTGCAGCTGATTACGATCTGACGGGGCAGTTGGTGTGGCCAGGTGCGGTGCTGCTGAACAATTATCTTTCAGAAAATTCAAAACTGCTTGAAGGGATTTCCGTAATTGAATTAGGTTCTGGAGTCGGTAAGATAATCGGTGATCCGTTTGGGGTAGTTTATTTGGTGTGGTGGCGTTTTGAAAAGACATCAGATCTGTGACAGTTTTTTGGCTACGATCTGACTTTTTTAAAAAAAATTATAATTTGTAATAGCCACCGCAGCTAATAGTCGGTAAGATAATCGGTGATCCGTTTGGGGCAATTTATTTGGTGCGGTGGCGTTTTGAAAACACACCAGATCTATTTGTGTAAACCGCATTTTGACAGCTTATGCGTTTTCAAAATACTGAAAATAACCTATCTATGTGCGGTGACAGTTTTCTAACTACGGTCTGACTTTTTTTAAAAAAATTACAATTTGTAATAGCCACCGCAGCTAATAGTCGGTAAGATAATCGGTGATCCGTTTGGGGCAGTTTATTTGGTGCGGTGACGTTTTGAAAACACGTCAGACCTGTTTGTGTAAACCGCATTTTGACAGCTTATGCGTTTTCAAAATGCTGAAAATAACCTATCTAGGTGCGGTGACGGTTTTCTGGCTACGGTCTGACTTTTTTAAAAAAAAATTACAATTTGTAATAGCCAACGCAGCTAACTTATCAGCAGATTATTCAATAAGCTGCAGGTGCCCCCAAACAGTTTCTTAATCTTCTGTAATTGTGTGAATTGTTATGGATTGTTTTGCAAAGTTTAGAGAAATGTTTGTTTTGATCAGGGATTACGGGGATTCTGTGCAGCAGATTTTGCAAGGAGGTCGTGTTAACTGATCATAATGACGAGGTTTTGGAGGTTGGGTATAACTGCATTTTATCTATTTATTTGCAAAAACTTTTTTTTTTTGGGAAATTTACATACATGCCACTCAATTCCTTTGCATTTACACTTTGCATTTACATATCTAACACCCTAACACCTAAATTTCAATTTCTATATACACTTGCTGTGATATAAAAAATCTTTTTGTAATATTTTTGTTTTTGAAGCGTTAAGTAGATCATACCAGTTTACAAAATCATTTGTTATGATTAGGCATGCAGATTGCAAATTATAAATTTGTTGAGGGTTTTTATGCTGAAAAAATATTACATCAGGACTTCACACGTAGAGTAACGTGCGGACTCCAATAAAATCATGTTAAAGGGGAATATTCCCGGTAACGCAGGAATATTCTCTCTATATTATTCAAGTGTTATTGTATGTTATTCATGTGTTATCGTGTTCTGGAAATATGTCTAGTATTATAATAACACAATAATACATCAATAACGCTTGAATAACAGACAATAACACATGAATAACACGGAAGAAATATTCCCGTGTTACCGGGCCGATTTTTTTTTTCTCACATTCACGTGTGTGGCGTGATTTCATTGGACTCCGTACGTTACTCTACGTGCGAAGTCCTGATGTAATATTTTTTTTTTCTTTTATGCTTATGTGTTAATTGATTGGGTTGTTAGATCCTGAAGCAGAATATAAAACTGGAATCATCTTCCGGAAACCTGATTTCTTCTGGTAAGTAGTCTCAATCAACTTCATCATGCATTGCTTTAATATTCGGACTTGCACATTTAAACTAAATTAAAAAAGATAATTTACATTGTATTTTTATATTTACTAATACAATACTTTAGTATTGAAAATGTGTATTTTGAGAAAAATTAATGTTAGTGATGTTTTCAATGTGATCTAAAAGATTTGGGTGTTATATTTGTAAATATTAAATTTAGGTTTGAAATACATAATTACATAAAAATTATTTGTCATGTATGTAAATCCCTTGATTTGCAGGATTAAGTGCTGAGAAGCTTGAATGGGGAAATTGTGATGAGATGGGCCAGATTTTGCAAAAATACCCCAAGGGATTTGATCTAATTCTGGGAGCAGATATTTATATCCTATGAACCCCTCTTATTTATGGGAAGATTTCATATATACCACTCAGTTCTTATGTGTTTACATGTCGAACACCTAAACTTTAATTTTTACATACATGCCACCTTTCTTGTTCACTTTTTGGAAGTTTAAATGATGTTATTAGAGTTGCAATATGAAATATTTGGGTGGTATAAATGTAAAAAAAAAAAGTTGAGTTTAAATGCTAGCCATGTAACTAAATAGGAAATGAAGGGTATTTATGTAAATGCGTCTTATTTATGATATCCTTAACACTGCATAAGCTTTCAACAGTCTAGTGTTCCCCTACTTTTTAGAACTGTGGAGGTTCTTCTTCGTTCTAGGGCGGGTGATTGCAAATTCATACTAGCTTATGTTTCTCGGGCTAAGATGTAAGTGAATTTATTTCTCATTAATGTTCTCTTACATATTTTTTTTATTATAGATATTTTAAAAGATTGGCTAGAGGCTATGATACAATCCTTCAACCAACCTCATGTGTCTAACCACTCGACTGATCCATACACCAGCAGGATAGAACTCCCGACCTCAGGGGACTTAGGACTGACTTGGCAAATGCCAACCAAAGAGTCGGGGGTCATTTGCATACATACCACACAAGTCTTATCTATTTACTTATCTAACAAAAACTTTCAAATTTTCATTCATCTCCACTCTAGCTAATCATAATAAGTAGATTATTTGCCTCATGTAATTTACAATAAGCTATTATTGAGGCTTGCTATGCAACTTTTCTTATTTAAGTATCACAATGAGTAGCTTTTTCAAGCCCTAGTTTGAACTTACAAATATGCCCAATATATCATAATTGGGAAATTTTGCAAACATGGAGAGGATCAAAAGAATGATTAAGGAAATGTTGTAACAAATTCTAAGAGCTATTCCTATAGTTCAAATGTTCGAAGAATCTTTAAGCTCTATCTTTCAAAAGAGACATTTGAGTGTAAGAACATTATTCTCTACCTAATATAATGATAAAACCTACTATCCAAAATGTGAGGAAGATTAATCTCCCTCATCTCATAGAGTTTAGATATGAGTTGGAGCAAACAAGCGTGACTTACTAATGCTTTCTTAAGAGAGACTCTGGGTCAGTTTGGGGTAGTTGCAGTTTATTGAATAAGCTGCTGATAAGCAACTGATCCAGATAAACTGTTGATCAGCAACTGATCCGGATAAGTTGGTTGACTGTTTGGTTTGTGTTATTAGAAAACAACTAATTTGTAACTGTTTCTGAATAAATAATTATTCTGCCTCTGTGCAATAATATTGTTTGCAACAGAACAGTCATAGCAATATATTTGATACTTGAGAAGCAAAACATCACTTCATGAGTTACTTCTTTGGGCTTAACCATTACATTAATAAAGAAAAGGAAAAGTAACACAACAACCAAGAATTTTGTTGAATATAAAATATATATGGATGAAGTAACACAACAACATTAATTTTAAACACTAAAATCCTTCTCAAAACTCTCCCAAAATCGTTGAGTGAAACTCACACTTAAAAAGAGCGAAAACAAATCACCATTTTCTAAAACAAGCGATAAAAACTGTTTATGAGAACACAAAAGCTTCACTATAAAAACTGAAAGACTTGATCAACTCCAAAAACAACCTATAAGTTTTAGAGATTCATTTAGAAATCATGATAGTTATGTTAAATAAAGTAAAAATACTTCAATTCCATTTGAGGCTTCTTAGGTGAAATCAACAATAAAATGCCCAAGGGATATGTTTTGCATATTAATTCAACAATCCTCACAAAACTTTAAAAAAAAAAAAATCATCTACCAAAAGCTAAGGGCCCGTTTGGTGACATCATCAACAATTAATATTTGTTTATAACAGAAATATTCCAAAGGAGACATCATCATTAGTATCCCACCTTCTTCTTCTTCATTAGCCTTATCCCAACAATATGAGTTCAGCTTTACTGTCAAAAAACATTTCTAAGAAATTGACCAGGCAAAGTTCGAAAAGTACGAAAAGTGCCCCCAATCTTCCTATTCATTTTTCTTCTAAATCAAAAGAGTGGATAGGTTTGCAGTATGACTTTCCATCCTCAATGACAAATGTGGGCCATTCAATGCTTGCTGTTAGACAAATAAAAAATTGATAGACCAATTTACAACGGCATTATTTGCATGAATTTTTTTTATATCCTTAAAGTATACAGACAGCAAAACTGTTAGTTTTTCACATTTGACCAGGAAGCCTATAAGAAACTCTCCCATAAGAATTTTGATAAGGAATGCCTCAAAAAGTACATGGAGAACCACTTTTTGAATTAAAATTTGAGAAGTATAGAAGAATATGTTTCTATTAAAAATCACTGGTTGCTTTGGATGCAAAAATAGAAAAAAAAATGGGCATTATTCATTCAGATTTATGCATTTACCAGTTGTTCCCTCCTTAACATTTGCACAAAGTTTAAATTTTGTGTGGTTAATTTTCCTTCAAATTCAAAATTTTAAAAGCTATAATATGGCCACATGTCGCTTACAAGAATGTTTCATCTCACGTTTAGCCGAACTTTCACTTACAAGTAGCAACATGAAAGCGCATCCAAATTAAAAAAAAAATATATGAAACCTTATTAGCCTCACATTCTTATAAAGCTTGCTTCAGAATGCTCGGTGTCGAAGAGACAAGTATTAGAAACTGCAAAACCCTGACCCATTGTTAGTGCCAATCAAACAGACCATAAACCCTATCACCAAAAAGATGTCATTTCAACATGAATCCCTATTCCTTGTTCCCCTGTACTATTTTTATATAGTAGTTCAAATAGCCTCCGGCACCCAATTCTAGATCACGGTTTAATATCAAAGCACTAGTTACAACAAATGGGATTTCATTATGGTTTGTAAGACAATAATCTAAAATTAGAAAGTTCTATGCTAATAAAACCCATCAAATCAAGATAAGAATCAAAAGAAATATGAATGAATTGAAACAGACCCTCCCAAATTTCATATATTATAGGTTTAAGCAAATATGTAACAAGTGGCCGCCATGTAAACTACTCTTAAAAAGAATGTTGTTAAATTTGTAGCATCAATACAACATGAAGAAGACGAGAGTCAACCATAATATTCAAACATGAAATTTCTTAGCTTGATAACCCATTTTTTTCCCCAATCTAATAAGCCTTTTATAGCAATCAGACCCAGCCAGACATAGTAATCAAGCACTCCCTAATTCAGTGAAATAAATTGGTCATCCCTAATCCAATACAAGAGAACAGACTCCCAACCAAAAAAATGAGCCAGCTCAAGCGAAGGCAATTGAGAAAACAAATATGCTAAAAATGCACCGATAAATGAGCTCAACAGGATGCTATGGCCATCGAAAGTATTAAAAATAAAATAAAATGCTAGAAGCTAATGGCGATTGTCATTCGCTTGCTCAAGCCCAAACCCTTATTTCTAGATCATTGTTAAGAGAAGGGAAACACGACATTAGAGAGGTCCAGATGACCAACTTCTGAGGTTGGAGAAACATGAGAAAAAGGAAGGATGGAGGACGTACCAGCAGAACACGGGACGCAAAGAAGTGAAGTTTGCGAAGGCGAAGGACAGAGGTGATCGAGGAGGGACTAGGGCAGAACGGGGTCGAGCGAGGGAGGAGAAGGGTTGAGCACGTAACCTTTCCAGGTAAGAATGCAGGTCGCAGGGTCAAGCTCGCGGTTGTGTAATATAATAAAATGCTGTGAAAAAACGTCAAAACGCATGAAACAAACACCTCGACCACATTTTAAAAAACGTAACTGCACCAATAAGCAACCCTAATGGGCCCTGCATAAGCAAAGTTAAAAGATCTATTATAACAAAGGCCAATTTGATTTGGTCGATCATATTAACTACTTCTAATTTGTTGTTTTAATAATTAATATTAATGATGCTTTAAGATATAGGCTATTTTATTACTTTTAAGGAAGCACCTCTTAAATAGTTCTCACATGATACTTTACACAATTATTTCTTTCAATTTTGATTATTTTGGCATAATCTAATTTTACATGGGTGATTGTTCTTAATTCAACCACAAAGAGCAAATTAAAAAAAAAAACAGCACAACAAGAAATTTATGCAATCATTTCAAATTTCATTATTACTTATATATTTTCCTCTACATAACATTAAAAACAACACCCTTATATAAAGGTTTGCAAATAAGATGTCATTTAGGATCACTTTTATCTTTTATTTTTTATTTTTTGTTATTATTTTGTTTTGTTTATGTTTTGATTTTAAACAAAACAGGTTTGAATATTTGATTAAAGTATGATTTTTTTTTAAAATAAAATATAAAATTATGTAAAAAACACACTAAACAAATATGTTTTAAAAAAAAAAAAACATGAACAAAAAAAAAATGATCCAAAACAAGCTCTAAATCTTTTGATATTTTTTCTCCATAGGACAAAAAATTAGACTCAACAATATAAAATCAGTTTCAAATCATTCACTTTGCTTAATTGAAGTGGATCCAATTGACATATTAGCTATAAGTCTAAGTGTGCAATCTAAGATAAAGCAGTGTAATAGCCATGGCCTATATTCAAATTGCAGCTTAAAAGACTTCAAATTTTTATATTTGTAACATAAAATTGTAGCTATCTCCATGATATATTTTGCACAAAATAGGAAAACTTTAGATTAACAATGCAATTTCTTTATTTGTTATCAGCAGATGAAATGTTTGTGGATGAAACTGACATATGGTTTGTTTTGATGTGCAGAATGGATGACATGGTTATTAATGAAGCAGTTAAGCTTGGAATGGAAGTGAATGAAGTAAGAGGCACCAGATGCATAATTTCCAATCTTGAAGGGGTCATATATGAAATTATCCTTCCCAAATAATACCATATATGTCATTGATTGATGCGCTGGACAAAGTTCTAAAAGTTATATACCTGAATATTATATGACAAAACAAATAATTAAATGCAAATGCATTCTGGCAATTAATGGGAGTTTTCATTTTATTTATTAATCAATCAATTTATTTATTTGTGAATATATTTTATTAATTTTAATTAATTAAAATTTTTAAATCATTTATATGGCTTGGTCTTGCTTAATTAGGAAAACACATGGTCTCTAAATTCCTCACTACTGCAAAGATAATCCAATATGAAGACTGAACAAAGATGTGGAAAAGGCATAGATCAACTTAATGAATTAGCTGCAAAATGATGATGATGATGATGATTCGATATTGCAAATAGTTATAAGAAAGATTACAAACATACCACTCAATTCCTATGTATTTACATGTGTAACGCCTAAACTTCAATTTTTACACCAATTTATGCATAAAAAGGTGCATTACACTATTTAGAAGTTAAAATGATGATATTTTTGTTATGATATGAAAGATTTAGGTGGTATAAATGTAAAAATAAAATTTAGGTGTTAGGCATGTGAATACAAGAATTAGGCGGCATGTGTCTGCAATGCTCCTATTAAAAAAACATAACAAAGCATCAAATATTAATATATATATATATATATATATTGTCAATTAACAGAGCTCTGTATTTTCAAATTTTAATAAACTTTCTTGAGAAAAAAAAAATTTTAATTATTTTATTTATTTATTTATTTCTGTTGAAATGATTTATATGACTTGGCCTCAATGGCTACCAACTGCAACAAAAAAAAATCAAATTAGAAAATTAAACGAAGATGTAAACCATGCATGAAGTCAAATCTAACAAATACATGTCTTTTTAACTGTAAATATAAATAAATAAATAATGGTTGACAATTCGATATTTCTTATGTTTTATTGTTCTTTTTTTCTTTGTTGGATTAGTTAAAAATAATAATAGTTTATTTCGAGACATTTCATTCGAGCGAGATTTGTCGTATTGTGTTGAGTTTACATTAGGCCAAGTTCTCAAAACACCAAACTCATTTATAATAAGGGCCGTTTACATACATACCACACAATTCTTATATATTGACATATCTAATACATAATATTTGATATTTATATTTATAACGCTTCTATGTGTCATGAACCTATTCATAACAAGGCATATATTGCTTTTAAAAATTTAATGATAATGATATTTTTAATATAATATTGAAGATGAGAGTTTTTAACATCACATTGTGAAAAAAATAAATATCAAACTTTAAGTATTGTAAATACATAGGAATTATGTGGCATATGTATGTAAATTTTCCTTTTCTTATTCATGAAGAATGCTAAGAGAGGATTTATACTAACCTTAGGCACCTTCTAGAGAGTAGAAATTGATGGAGCAACTAAGAATCTCGGTGTCCTCTGCCCATATGAGGATAGTTTTCTGTCTAGTTTGTGTTTCAGATAATCACCACAATTCTATTTGGGAGCTATTTTTTGTTGCTTTCTAAAAATTCTTATGATAAAAAGTTGTTAAACCGACCTTTTAAAGTGTAATGGCTGTAAGAATTGTGCTGGTTTTTTTTAAAATAATATATATGTTTATAAATTTCATTGTAGTTTTTAAGAAGTTGTTTTCTACACCACGATTTTATAACCACATTTTTAAAAAATTGCTACCACTCCAAATAGATTCTAAGAGGTCGGAATTAATTTATTAGGCGGTGTTTGGCAAAGACTTGGATTTACTTTAAACAAGATTTATCGAATCTAGTGCAATCGGATTTATCCAACCCTCTGCAGACCTCGTGAGTGATAACGACCGCTCACGATTTACTGTAAATCTGTCTAATAGTTGGATTTAATAAATCCGGATTTACATAACAGAACGCGAAAGATTTTGAATTAATTGAGCGATGGATTTAAATTCTGTTTTTTTTCTTTCTATGTTTGGCGGGATTAAAGTTAAATTAATGACTAAATCCCGTTAATAGTATGCTACGAAACACCCCCATGTATTAGATAAGGAAAAAATGTCTGTACGGCCAGAAAAGAGTTAGAAAAGCTTATATGTGAGAACAGGGATGCGTTCTGTATAATCAGAAGTTAATTTTATTTCAAATGTAGACCCTCCCTTGAAATTTATATCCATTCTACTATCTTAAGTACAATGGTGGGATTGAAGAGTAACTTTCCTTCATGTTATTAAACAAAAAACCGAAGATTTACATACATACCACTCAATTCTTATGTTTTTACATATCTAACGCCTAAACTTACTTTTTCATATATGCACTTTATCTGTGCATGAAAGGTATATTTTGCTATTTAAAAGTTAAAATAATGATCTTTTTCATGTGAAATGAAAGATTGGAATGGTATAAATGCCAAAAATCAAAATTTAAATGTTAGATATATAAAAACACAAGAATTAGTGGTATGAATGTAAATGCCCCAAAAACTTGATAAAATATTCATTATGTAGTTTTAGCTGCTTTTTTTTTTTACTCCTCCCGGGCATTCAAGAAAATTCTATTAGAGTAAAATCCTTTAAGAACCAATTTTTACATACATGCCGCCTTACTTATGAATGAAAATGTGTATTTCATTTTTTTTAAAGTGAAAATGATAATATTTTTGATGTGATATGAAAGATTTGGGAGTCATTAACGTAAAAAAGTAAAGCTTATGTGCTAAATATGTAAATACATATGATTGGGTAGCATGTATGTAAATGCCCCCTATTTTTTAGTTATCTTTAAACAATTATTTTTGACAAAATGTATTCGAAACTGCATTTGAAAATTGAGTTTTTAATATTTAAAATTGGTCAAACCTAGCCTAATTTAAAAATGTATATGCAATCACTTTCTCCCAACTTTTCCTAGCGACCAAATCAATTCAATGTGATCTCAAATCCATTTCTCCCACTTTTCCTCACAATTTATAGCCAATGCAAGCATTTTTCCAACCCACTTCCTACACCACACCATCAGATCTAGCCCAATTTAAAGTGCTCTTGTTAGGGGTTATGATAAGAAATAATTTATTCTTATAAATAAATTATTTTCTTAGAATTAGAGTTATGATAGGAAATAATTTATTCCTGTAAATTAATTATTTCCTTAGAATTAATGAGATATTTGTTTTCCTATTTTACGTTATTTTCTATATCTCCTAATAATAAATATGAATTAATTATTGAAGATATCAGATGTTATACTCTTCCTTTCATATCATTTCCTTTTATTATTTTCCCTATTACAAGATTCTTGTAAGGGTTATTTATAATTTCGTTCATATCAATGAAATATTGAGTATTCCACCACATTATTCTGAGTTTTAACATGGTATCAGAGCAAACACGATTCTGAGTCTTACCATCTCCTCTTCTACGCCAAAACCCCATCTATCTTCTTTCTAAGCCAAAACACATGACAGACAAAACGCAAAATTCAGCAAAGTTTGAATCTAGCAAATTCAATGATCCAAACGACCCCTTTTATCTTCACTACTCATATCAACCCGGTCTCATGCTTGGTACGCAGCCGCTGAATGGAGAAAACTACAATTCCTGGAGCCGTGTCATGTTGATGGCTCTCAACATCAAAAACAAAGAAGGTTTTGTCAACGACACCGTCAAAGAACCTCCAGAGATGTCCACTGCAAAACTTCAACAATGGAGGCGCTGCAACAACCTTGTCAAGGCATGGTTGTTTAATTCAATTGCAGAAGACATTGAAGCAAGTATAATAGACAACGAGAGTGGCCATAAAATATGGCTGGACTTGAAAGAACGTTTTTCTCGTACCAACAAAGTTCATATTTTCCATGTCGAAGAAGCCATCCACGATTGCAAGCAATGCGATATGACAGTTGAATCTTATTACACCAAGCTTAAAGGTCTATGGACGAACGTGACGCCCTCCATAACATTCCTAAATGCACGTGTGGTGCCATGAAGTGATGCAGTTTCAGCAAAACCAGAAAACCATGAAATTCCTCATGGGGCTTAATGAAACATACACTAGTATCAGAGGACAAATTTTGCTCATGGATCCCCTTCCCAATGTCAACAAGGCACATTCTCTCGCGCTCCAAGAGAAAAAGCAACGCGGCATGAACAATATAAATGCATCGCAGCCGGAAGCTTCAGCTTTTGCCGTGAAGAATAATGCACGAAAACAAGAGAAGGTTTTCACGCCTAAAAATCCTCATTTAAAGTGTGGAAAATGTGACAAAATTTGGCATACCTCAGACACATGCCGAGCACATCTCAGATGCGATTATTGTGGATGACAGGAACACACCATCAATGACTGTAGGAAGCTGCAAAGGACCAATCCAGCGAACAATAAATCTAAACGGAAAAATTTTGCTCCCAAAACCAAACATGCGGATACCAATACATCGACGAGTCCTGCATCATTCACCCTTACAACTGAACAATATAAAAGCCTCATATCACTACTTGCAGAGAACAAATCTAATTCGATGGCTAATCATGTTGGCAGTACATCGGTTATGAGTGATATCTCAGGTAAAATCTTTTGTGACACTGTTTTTCACAAAGAAATAAACTGGATTCTTGACATAGGAGTCACAGATCACATAGTATATTCAACTAATCTACTTACTACAAAATCCAGTGTCATCAATCCAAAAGTTCACTTGCCTAACGAGGCTACTGCAACTGTCACACACATAGACAACATTCATTTTGTTGACTTTGTTCTACAAAATGTTTTATGTGTCCCCTCCTTCAAATTAAATCTGATTTTCATTAGCAAATTTGTGTTTGATTCACAATGTCTTGTCATTTTTAATAACCACACTTGTGTGTTATAGGACCAACAATCGGGGAAGATGATTGGGACGAGAACTAAAAGAGGAGGACTCTACTACCTTGATACTCCACAAAAGAGAAAGTGCAATGTTGCTACTTCACCATCCCCAAATCTCTGGCATAAACGTCTAGGCCACCCATCAAATAAAGTTTTCAGTTTGTTTCCTTTTCCAATTATAGACAAGAAAATTTGTAATATTTTTTATTATTTAATTTGCCCATTGGCTAAGCAAACTCGTTTATCTTTTCAAACAAGTTCCATTAGCTCAAAAACACCTTTTAAATTAATTCATGTTGACATTTGAGAAGGATACCAAGTTCCTTCAATCACAGGAGCGCGGTATTTTCTCACAATTGTTGATGATTATACTCGATGCACATGAAATTATTTGATGAACCATAAATCAGATACACATTCATACATCATCAAATTCATAAACCTCGTTGAAACACAATTCAATCTAAAAGTCAAAATCATTCGAAGTGATAATGGTTCTGAATTCATATTGAGGAATCTCTATCTCGACAAAGGCATCATTCACTAATCAAGTTGTGTCTGCACTCCGCAACAAAATGGTGTAGCCGAAAGAAAACATCGTCACTTACTCAACATAGCCCGAGCCTTATTGTTTCAAGCTAATTTACCCAAAAAATTTTGGGGAGATACAACCCTAACTGCCACCCACCTAATCAACCGAACACTAACACCCCTTCTCCAAGGAAAGGCTCCTTTTGAAATGCTCTTCCAAACAAAACCAACATATGATCATTTGCGCGTGTTTGGGTGACTTTTTTTTGCCTCAACACATCATCAACGACCAAACAAGCTTAACCCCAGAGTCATACGATGTCTTTTCTTAGGATATTCATACGCGTAAAAGGGCTATAGAGTCTATGACCTTTCAACTGAGAAGGTTTTTGTATAACGAGATGTTCGTTTACAAGAAAACACTTTTCCCTCCCCTTCTTTCACTACAGATAAGGGCTCAATTCCGTACTTCACCACCTACATCGACATGCCTTCATTCAATGAATTACCTCAAGAAAATATTTCATCTTCTCAAGACAACGAAATCTCCTCTCAAGAGACTACTTCACCTTTAAATTTATTCTCAGAACAACCTGCAACTCTAGACCAACAAATACCATCGTCACGATAAATAAGAACAATAAAAACACCTAGCTATTTGCGTGAGTATCATGTTGGTATTTCTCTTCCCTCAAGACACCCCCCAACATCGAACTATTGGCCAAAACCAAACCACAGGTGTCTTCTATCCATTAACTGACGTCTTGTCATATGCTAGATTGTCACTTAAACATTGTGCTTTTACCACCGTCCTTTCAATTGAAAAAGAGCCAAGCACCTTTGTAGAAGCCGCTCGTAATCCAATGTGGCAGGGGGCTATGTGAGAAGAACTTGATGCACCCAACATCAATGGCACATGGTCCCTTGTACCATTACTGCCTGGAAAGAGATCAATTGGATGCAAATGAGTATACAAAATCAAACTTCGTGCAGATGAGACAGTTGAACGCTACAAGGCCAGATTAGTGGCAAAAAGGTATAATCAAATTGAAGGACTAGATTACCAGGAAACATTTGCCCCTGTAGCAAAGCTTGTAACTGATCGCCTACTTCTTGCGTTAGCTTCAACCAAATAATGACATCTTCACCAACTAGATGTCAACAATGCTTTCTTGCATGGGAACCTCGATGAAGACGTATATATGTCACTACCTCTTGGCCTCCGACGAAAGGGGGAGACTCGAGTTTGTAACTCCACAAATCATTATATGGTCTCAAACAAGTTTCACGACAATGGTTCATCAAGTTTTCCACCGCTCTAAAGCAAGCCAATTTTATGCAATCAAAGGCAGACTATTTTTTGTTCGTTTGATCCCAGAATGGTAAATTCATCACCCTTCTTATATATGTAGATGATGTCATCATTGCAAGGAATGACAAGAAATCGAACATGTCAAAATA